GACTGGGAGGAAATATTTACAAAACACCTATCTGATAAAGAACTCATACCCAGAATATATGAAGAATAACTTATAACTCATTAAGAAGGTAACTCGGTTTTTAAAAACTGGTAAAAGATTTTAACAGATACTTCACCAAAGCAGATATACAGATGGCAAGCAAGCACACGAAAAGATGCTTAAATATATTTGTTATTAGGGAACTATAAACCCAACAATGCCACTTCTAGATACTAACCAAAGTGAAACAAAAACACAGGTTCACACAAACACACGTACTTAAATATTTTTATCAGCTTTATTCATAATATCTGTAGACCAGAAATAATCCAAATATTAATTAATCCGTGAATGGATAAATCAGATTACCTCCATACAGTAGAATACTACTCAATAATAAAAAAGGAACTAACTACTGATATATATAAAAACTTGGATCAATCTCAAAAGCATAGCTAAGTGAAGGAAACAAGACATAAAAATCATACAAGACTATACACTGCATAATTAAATTTAAATGAAATCCTAGAAAATGCGAAGACTATGTTGTCAGAAAGCAGATTAGGTGCAGAGGTAGGGGCAGGGGACGGATAACTAAGGGATATGAGGGCACATTCTATCTAGGGTGGTAAAAAGTTTCCATATCATGACTGTGGTGGTGGTTCTGCAACTCTGTACATGTTCAAAACTCATCGAATTACACACTTTGAATTGGTGAATTTTATTGTATGTAAGTTATATTCAATAAAGTTCATTCTATTTTTAAAAAGACTAATACTTCAAAAAAATTTAACCTATAAATCAGTAGGAAGAATACAAATGAACAAAACATATGAATAGGCAATTCAGAGGATGGAAGCAAAATGGCTACTAAACATTTAAAGAGAGTTTCAACCTCAGCAGTGATCATGAAAATACAAATTAAAACCACAAAGAGATGCCATTTCACATTCTTCCAAATGGCTAATATTTGAGCCTGATAATGAGAAATGGTGAGGATTTGGAGCAATGTCTAGGTAAGTAAGTACAATCCCTGTAAAGATCAATTTGACAAGATCAAGTAACAAGCATTACCTACAAATTCCACTTGTAATATCTACTCCGGAAAAATCATCACTATGTATATAAACATGCAATATTATTTGTAATAGCTAAAATGTGAGAACTTAAATATCCACCAATGGGAGAATGGATAAATAAATAGGACTACTGTATATTCGCACATTGGGATTCCATACAGCAGCAAAACCAAATAAAGTAGCAGTACATAGAACAAGTGGATAAATCCCAAACATCTATTAATTTAAAAAACTGCAAAATAATATGAAGATGATATGATTTATACTATATTTTAAAACACAAAAATACTAAGTATTGATTATAGATACAAACATGTGATACACATAAATAAACAAAGATAGAAGAATACCAACTTGAAGACAGTAATTACCCTCGGGTACGGTAACGCCGGGACAAGGAGCTCCACATGCTGCTGGCAATATCTCTACCTCTCCTTCCTCCAAAACAATCACTCCCTCCATTCCATATTCTGCCTAAGGGACCATCAAAACTAATCATATCATGCTGTACATAGCTACTTACCTCAGTCACTACAAAAAGCCTAAAATATCCTTGTCATTACTCATAACCTGGACACTTATTGCCTTGCAGCTGGGTATAGCACCTTATTTGACTCTATTTTCCATCCTTCTACAAATTCCGAACAACTCCTTCATGTTCTCTGGCACTTTCATCAGCAAAATCCCCTGTATCCTCTAACTCTTCTCTGAATGTTCCCATCTTTTTCTCTAACTGAAACCTCACTTTCCCCTAAGGATTCTCCTGAAGCCCTTTCAAATGGTGGCTGTGATCCATAGGCCTACAGACAGGGAAGCTGTCCAAGTTGATCCTCTCTGCCTTATTCAAAATTGCTGTACCGCCTTCTTTCACTGCACCTCTTTCTCTAAAAATCTCTGGCTTATGCCCCGAGACTGTATCACCAGCATTCCTGGTTGCATATATAGACCCCAGGTCTCTTCTCTTATTTTTAAAAAATATTAGTACCTTGTTCACTGTCACTCTCTCCAATATTATCTCAGAAGTAAGTATTGATGATTCTAATATCCACACAGATGATATCTCTAAAACTCTTCATTCCTTAACCTCCTCTTTTGCAATGATCCTGTCCTCCCTCCTACAGCAATTACCCACTTCCATTGTCACAGCCTGTATCAACAACAGTACCCTTCCAATTTTATTTCTAAGTATCTCACTCTCCAACCACTACTCCTGACTCCAACAATACTTTCACTCCATCGTGACCTACAATCCATTGATTTTATCAACATTTTGTTGTCCCTGTCAGCCCCTGTTCTTACTTCCCTCCTAATGATTGATTCCATATTCAATATTTCAATCATTTGACTTCTTTTCTCCCCCCCCCCCCGCGTTTACTAATTTGGCAAAACTTCAACTCTGATTAAATCCAATCTCTAACCCTTCCATGCCTTAATCTGCAGCCTATAGCTGGAGAAGAACATTCACCATGCTGCCTGGTAATACTTTAAATTTATGAGCACTAACTTCAACAGGCTATTAGTCCTATCCAACAGTCCTGCTTTCCCTAATCCACTTCCTAGAAAACTATTTCATATTTTTTCTTAACACAAACCTCTGTGCTAGAAGCTTCAAGTTTGTCCTCACTCTGTTTCTTCCCTACTCTGCATCCTCTTCCCTGCTCCATGTCCAGCTTTTCTTCCCAACTGCCAGCCCTCTGAGCAACAGCAAACTTGGGCCTGCCACCAGACACTTGGCTGCAAAACGAGAGCCACAAAAAGGCAACAGCTTTCCATGACTTTGTAACAGCCCCACTCTGAGCCCCACTCCAGCAGCCTGAAATGTCTCGTTTTCTGGTCTAAGTCCTCTGATGAATACTGAATTCCATAATCTTCCCAGTGGTTCTGTTTCCCTGATTGAACCCTGAATTTCTGGAACAGGAAATGGTTAAAAGGAAACAAGACCTTAAAGATACTAACCAGAAATCGCTTCTCTGATTTGATTAAAGGCATTAACAACCCTGTTTCCAGTGGTAAAGGGACACTAGTAGTCCATAGCATGCAGTAGCAAAATATTTAAATTATCATCTGCTAACAAGGACCTATAGAAGACAAAGCTTTGGGTAACTAAGTAGTTGCTGCCATAGAAGATTTTATAAAAATAAGTTGTACAATGGGTTAATTAGTTGCTTCTGGGTATAGTGAAGAATTCTTTTCTTGGGAAAAGAAAATGATGAACTCAGAGTTTTAAATGCAAACTTCAAGGTCTGGGTAAGGGACCAGAAATCTGTAACTGCCTTAATAGAAAGCCTCATGTAATGTGGCTACACAGCTGAAATTTCTGAAAAGCATATCCTGCAGGTGGCTGAATTACAATGCAAATTCAATTCAAACTCTTGCAGGACATCTTATATTAAAGTTAGGGAAGGAGTAGGGCCCTGAAAATTAGGATGGGGACATATGGGCAGATTCTGATGAATCCCTAAATTCTGTCAAGCATCCTTTGCTAGTAGAAGCAGTCCTGCATCTCATGTCTGAGAAAATTAGACTCCCTTTGTCTGAAGAGTGTGTAATGGCTCCCCTGAAAGAGTTGCCTTACAAGGGACTGCTCATCTTCCTGAAGATCTACTCCTAAAGCCTCTCATTATCTAGACCCATAACCAGACTTAAATCTCAGGAGGTCCTGGAGGTTGGACACAAAATGTGACCTTTGATGATATGTAATATACACCAAAAGAACTGCAAGATTTGGCCAATGTATGTTAACAGAAAGCTGGGAAATATATATCCCAGAATCCCCTTCCTCATATGGTTCTGCGTTAGAGCTAGGCAAAAGAAAAATATGTGCCATGTTTAGAAGATGGAGAAGTTACAGATTTAGAAGAGAAACAGCAGCCATGATGCTCTCTGAAGGTCATGGTGGTTTAAGGTAAGGAGAGACAGATGCAGAGGTGCTGGCAGGTTTAGTTTGTCTTCACTCTTCTTTTTTCCTACTCCATGTCCCCTTCCCCACTCCATGTCCAGCTCTTCTTCTCAACTGCCTGCCCAACAGCCAGACCAACAGCAGCCCCAGGCCCACCAGAAATTTGACTAAGAACTGACGGATGTGGTAGCTATGTGCACTAACTTCTATACCAGTCCACTCTGCACTGTCACACCATAAGCTGGGTATTAACAGTTTTTACTGCAGGTAGATCTACGGACGAACAGCTTTATACCATGTACTTTAATTCTTTTGTTTTCACATACCTTTAATGAGCATTTATAAATTTTATGAAAATAAACAGTTTTTAAGTAATTTTAAACATTTCAAGCATTTCAAGCTAATTTGGAACACTCTAAGTTCTCTGAGGAAAATAAATAAAAGGAGCTTTTTTCATCCTAAAAGAATAAAAAAAAAAAAGACTTACATCATTAGATTGAAACAATCGAGTCATTGCAAAGAAGGCTTCTGTAGCTTCTGTAGTTCCAAAGTATTCACCCTAAGTACAATTAAAAACAAATTTTTAAACTTAAATTATATATATAAGGATCTTCTCTTTATTTCTGCAAAAATCTTTTGGAACTTGGGAAAAAAATCTCTTTGAAAATGTTCTGCCTCCGTGATTTTTCTGACTTTCAATTTGTAAACCCACATGACCATTTATCTACTCTTTATTTAAAATAATTCAGTATCACATACTATGCCTAAAATTTCTGGAATAGTGGTCTCTAACCTTTTCGCAGAAACATTTTAAATTTCCCTAAAGAACTGTGATTTAAAAGGAGGTCGAAAATGGGAGTAAGCAGTTTCTAATCAGAATAAGATAGCACCTAAGAGGAGAGATCTTACACTGTACATTTCTATAATCTAATGCCCAGCATAATGCCTAACATGTCGCAGGAGCATAATAAATATTACACTATTATATAAAGAACTATCTATTTGGAATCCCAGCAAACATGGCAAAAAGGGGACCAACCAAAAGGGCAGGAATCAGGTTGATCATATAAACAAAATAAGGTGTAAGGGACTGCTATGATCTCAATATTGGCTCAAGCTCATAAAAACATGCTTTGGATAGGAGTTTCACAAACCTTCATGTGAATAACAAATCATCCAGGGATCTTGCCAAAATGCAGACTCGAATTCAGTGACTCTGGGTAAAGCCTGAGATTCTGCATTTCTAACAAGCTCCCAGAGATGCAAATCCTGATCAGGGAACCACATTTTCTGAGTAGCAAGGTGTTATTTCACTAATATTCCAAACATTTCAGATCACAAATTACCCAAAATATTATCATTTCAGTATTTAATTTCTTCATTAAAAGCAATCTCAATCACTTTTCAGAGTTTCAGATTTCAGTTTTCAAATTTCACATAAAATATAACTAGTCTTCAATCTATTTGCCATGGGTATAATAAATTTTGATGAAAACACTGAAAGTTTAGGATGAAAGACAAAGCATAAGAAATTTACAACTACTTAAATCAGAGTATCCAGCTTGCTCATCAGCAAGAGATTTCTCTTTCTTTCATAAATATTTACTGAATAACCAGAAGCCTATGTGCTTTTTGGTTATATTGGAAAACATTAAGTTCCTATTTTATTACTTGAAACTCAGAGAACATATGGATATGTCAACTCTGGTAGAAATTTAAAATTATCTTTCCATAAAGCTCTACCAAGAACTAGGGAAAGAGATAAAACAAATGTTCTCAAACCTGTTTATGTAGTTAATTGTGTTTATGCTGTGCTTAGTAATCTCCTTATCAAGATAATTAAATGTTTCAACATGAGTTGCCCCATGAAAGAGGTATTGACCAATATAAAAATATTTGCTACTCTGAATCAACTTTGACTATTTGAAACTGTTTATATATTGGATTTAGCCAACTTGGACACATGTGTGCTATCAAACTGACTTTGCCTTAAATGTTTCTAATATGCTGCCACAGAGGGATTATGTTGTTTGTGAACAGATATATTTTATCTAAAAGTATGTGCTTTTTACTCAGTCTTCATTTGGAAACAGCAAAACTTTATTAAATCTCTGGATAAGGTCTTTAGTCACAAAACATGGTAAAGATAAAATGTTCTCCTGGAATTCAAACTGGAAACCACAATCATTTTAGCACCACATGTAAACCACCAGAGACATATGGTATATATGTGTATGTGTGTATATTTAACTGTGTGTATCTACATATACATATATATAGTTGGCCCTCCAGGCCTCTGGGTTCTGAATCTATGGTGTTAATCAATCTCAGATTGAAAATATTTAAAAAAAAAAAATTGTGTTTGTACCGAACACATACAGATTTTTCCTTATTCTTATTCCCTAAACAATATAGCATAACAACTATTTACATAGCATTTACATTGTACTAGGTATTATAAGTAACCTAGAGATGATTCAATGTATATGGGAGAATGTGCACAGGTTATATGCAAATACTACACCATTTTATATCAGGGACATAAGCACCCTCGGATTTTGGTATCTACAGGAGGTCCTGGAACCAGTTCACTACAGAGACTGAGGGAATATAACTCCATAAAGCAAAATCATATTTTCTAAGGCCCTAGACATTTCATGAGATTTTAAAGTCTGAGGCAAAAAACCCTAAGGAAAAATCAAATTAATAACAATAACAGCAAGCAGAACCTACATTCCCTGAGTGCAAATATTTTTGCTAGTTTGTCTGTACATAGCATAATAGTCGTTATGCTATGCTAATGCCTAGAACAGTGCATACGACGCAGCAAGCATGCAATAAGTATTTGCTGCATGACTGAAGGAAAATTATTCCTAAATGCTTACTATGTGCTCAGTACTATTATCAGTGCTTTACATTTATTATCTCGTTTAATCATTATGACTTTATATAACAGGTATTATCTTAAACCCCTTTTACAGAAAAGAACATTAAGGCACAGAACAGTTACTTGCCCAGAATCATAATGCTATAACAGTGGAACAGGGATAATAAACATAAAATCTGAATATTAAAATTAAAGCTTTGAAACACCACTATTATACAAAAATTAAAAGATAAAATATATGGAATTTATCTGATTTTGTACTCTATTTTCAGAGGGACATAAAGATCTCTAAACACATGTAAACAATATGTTCTAACTAGTACTCATTAAATTAAAACCGAGCAATTTATTGTGAATCACTATGTACACAGTGTGAATAAAAATGTACAGGTTGGGCATCCCTAATCCAAAAATCCAAAATCAGAAACTTTTTGAGCACCAACATGACCCTGAAAGGAAACATTCATTGGACCATTTCAGATTTTCAGATTAGGGATGCTAAACCTTAAGCATAACGTAAAAATTCCAAAATAAAAAAAAATATGAAACATTTCTGGTCCCAAGTATTTCAAATAAGGCATACTCAACCTGTATATGTCATAGTCCTTGTGCTCAAGAAGTTTTACATATTATTTTGCTAACCAAACACTGTCAATGTTAAAATTAAGTGAATTTAAAATAAATAATTATACTTTCCAGAAAGTACTTTATTGCATGTTATACATTTTTATTCCAGGACACAAAGCTGAGGAAAATCAAAACAATTTACCTGGTTCAGTAAGTAAAGAATCTTTGTAAGAATATGCAAACATCTTCTTGGATTAATAGGAGTTTCATTGAATATACGAGCCTACAGAAACATAAAAACATTGTTATATATAGTGTATTTGCTACCTTTTCTATCACAGATTACAGCAAATCAACTTTAATAGAGACTATTTTGATTCACCATATCCAAATAATGTTAGCTGTCTACAGTTCCCAATTTACTATAGTATAGAATAAATTATCAGATGAGGCCTTGATTTTCCATTCTACACTTTCTAATTCATTCCCTTAGGTCAACTACTTCCAACTTTATGGGCTTTATCTTTTAAACAAGAATCACAATATTTATCTATATCACATGAATACAATGAGCTTAATATCTATAACTTCTTTCAATAACCTTGCACTAAACCTCTTCTGACATTTTAAATTCCCAACACGTGGCAGAGCCTGCATATCTTTGCACTTCTCTAAGTTCTAGATTCTCCTCTGACAATTACCCCTCTCCCTTTTCCCTCAAGTCTAAATTCTCTGAACTTTGTTACATTCCTTGTTTTGGATGTCCTGATCATAGTATCCCAGGATTCTCTGCACACCATTCTAAAATGGAATAGAAAAGAAGGAGCACCATATACTTCCAAGTCATACCTCCTGTAAGACAGCACTCTTCTCCAGATGCTGGAAAGGACTGGAGCCACTACCTATATTATAAGACAAACAAATATCTTTAATAGCTATCCTACACAAACTTACATACCTTCTAGAGGGTACTGGATGCTTAGGAAATCTCACCTAAGTGACGTGACCACTTGGATACCACAGTGACAGTCACTACTAACATGCATATAAACTGAATGAAAAAAAATTTTGATTCTGGTATTAGCTCTGTACGTTGCCGTACTGTAAGCCTGGACTTCGCTTTTCCAGGAACTCTGTCCAGAAGGAGTCTTCTTTCCCTGCCCTCTTTCTCCATGAATGTTAAAAGTATGTCATTTCCACAACCGAGATTAATGAGATTGTGATAGGGCACTTTTGACTTCCCTAAAGATAAGCACTCTTTTATTTTACGTGTTTCTAACATTTACTGAGAGGCAGACACGAAGAGTTTCACAGAATTCACAGACGTAGAGCTACAAAAGAGAGCAGCTATCGAACACTGAGATTTTTTTCTTTTTGAGGAGGCTTGGCATCTTCCCCATTTGCTCGGGACCAAAGACATGTATCAACACGCAAGTGACTTCGGGACGCCTGAGCAGTCAACCAGCTGTCCCACGGGACAGACTTGCCCCCTGGGAACCAGGTAGAGCCAAGGGCCCCCAGGAAGACTGTAAGGCACAAGGCACCTCAAAGTTCATAGACACACACACTGTCCCGCCAACCCCAGACGCCCTCGGGGCCTGACCCTGACAGCAGCCCCCGCCGCCGAGACGCGCGTACGCACTCCGCGCCCAGTCGGGGGGCCAGCCGAGAGCGGCGGAGGAGGCTTGGAGGGGCTGCACCAGGGAGGGGACAGGGACCGGTACAGGGACCGGGACGGGGGCGGGGCCGCCGAGCTGCCCGAGGCTGCGCGCGGGCGCCGGGACAGGAGCGCGCGGCCCTAGAGGAGGCTCCGGCGCCCGGGGGAGGGGCTACGGACGGGACCCCGGCAGGCGCGGAGGGGAGGGGAGGGACCGGCTCCAACTCCGGCCCCCCGGCACAGCAGCGCCCACGCCCCCAGCCCCGCCGTCCCGGAAAGCAGGTGGCGGCGGCCGTGGGGAAAGGGCCCCCGAGGCTGAGGGTGGGCCCCAGAAGCCCCGCGCGTACCAGACTCCTCGTCCTTCTTGTCGAATTTTTTAATCATCTTGGACGACTTCCCAGCGCCCAGACCCACCGCAACCGTCCCAGGCGCCGCAGCCGGCGAGCGGAAGAGGCTGCAGGAAGGCCGGCCCCGTGCCCTCATGCGGGTTGGGCCGTCGCGCCGTCACTCGGGGCCAAGGCCCGCCCTCCCCGGCCGTCGCGGTTGCCCCGGCCCCCTGGGGACTCAGCCACGCCCTCCCCTGCCGGGCAGGGGCGGGGCCAGGTGCTGTCCCCACTGGCTCACGGGGCCCACCTTGCTCGCGACCCGGCAGCCCACACGTGCTGAGGCTGGAATGTGTGTGGTTTTATTTGGGCTGCGACTTCTGCAGGCCCCTCGGTCTCTGGAGAGCGAGGCGGGAGGCCTGAAGGGATTGTGGTCACTGAATGACAGTGGCATTTTTGATAATCCACTGTTGGGCCCTTCCATTGCGGAAGGCGCTTTCCCCCGGCACGGTTCTGGTGGGCTTCTCTTCCAGGAGCGTCGAGAGGGTTAGTGGTTCCCAAGTCACCTTGGACTTCGGCATTTCACTCTCTGACTTCTTGGAGACTAGGACAAAACACAGGACACCTGTGATTTTCCAAAGTACTAGAACCATACTTAATGGAGGCATCAAAGAGACCCAGTTGGAGAGACGAGAAAGCTAGTCTTTACTGTTAGGAAGAGTGCAGATTGTGAACCGCGGGCTACCTTTCCTCACCTTCTTTATAATTTTGGACTCCCTTCATCAAAACTCAGTTGAAAACACAATGCCAGTTTAAGAGGCTTCCTTGTATAATCCCACCCCTTTCAAATGATCCCTTCTGAAACCATATTAACACTTAAGTTAATGTGCATTCACTTGTATATTCATGTTCCTCTTAGCCTTTTTTAAAAGTGTTTGCTGATTTTCTGCTCTCATGTCTGAGAATGTGACTAAGAAACTTTTTCTGTGACATCACTTTATACAGATTCTCTGTCAATCTCTGCATGCTCTTTGGAATCTTCCATTGTGGGACCTTCTTGCTCCCATCCTTCCCCACTTTTTGGATACATTATGTATGCCTTGTAAATGTCTCCTGAATCTATTCCCTTGTCCCTATTGCTGTCACCTTAGCTCAAGTCCTATTATCTGCCTTTTGGACAGCCTCTTAACTAGTCTTTATGGCCCCCATCCAAACTGTTCTCTACGTCTTTCTTTATTTGGATGCCTGGTAAACATGAAACGTTATTGGGGGAAGAGGGAGTTGCTAGCTCTTTCTTTTGCTTGACATGGAGACATTGGTACAACTTCCCTGCAGACTGCCTTTGTTTAGGAAATGTACCATAATGGGCTCTTTTGATACATAAGTATCCACTCATTTTTCTTGAGAGAAACTGTAGATTCACCATGAATCTAATAGATGCTGCAGACTGAGATATTAAGTGTTCTGTTTAGAAAAAGAAATTGAATGTATCCTTAACAGAGTTAGGCCCTTGCAAAATTAGAGAAATTCTACCCTAGATTAGATTCTAGAGAAATTCTTTCCCCCAAATATTGATTCAAGATGAACTGTGGATATCCTACATATGGTATCATTTAAGATTTAACTCCAACTTGACTAAACATACTATTAACTATTATGTTTGCCTTATCTGGCTTATAAAGTTCAAACCAGACTTTGTAGGTGGGGCTTCCCTTAAAGGAAATAGATGTTTGCACTTGTTTATTCTGGGGCTGAAAATGAACAGACTTTGGGAAGGGAGAGATCCTCTTCCTCTTCCTTGGCCCTGGGGCACTGGGAGCCGAGGCAGTGACAAAGTAGCAAGCCCAGAGATTCCCAACAATGGGTAATGTGCTGGAGGCCTGCTGGGAAGTATGAGGGAACTGGGGTTGGGCTTGAGGTTGAGCCTAAGTGTAGCCCCTTTTAAAGCAAGGTAAATCACTCTCTGCTTTTCAGCTTTCTTCTATATCTGTGAAGTTTTGTTTAATACCACAGGTTGGTTTTAGCCATACAGTATATGGGGAGTATAAGGGAAGCAGTAGTAGAGGTGGGGTGGGGTGGGGTGGCAAATAGGTAAAGCAGAAGCAGAGAATCCTGAAGAAGCCAGTTAAGGGATGGCACGATATGACCTCACGCTTCTGGAATCATGGATGTTTGGGCTGAGGAAGGCGGGCAAAGGTGTTAAGTGATCACGAGGATGGCTTTGTGGAACAGGTGAGGATACCTTAGAGAACCTCAGAAATTGCTTGAGGAGAGAAACCTGGTAGGAGAAATGGACCCTATCTTGAAGCCATGAGGTGGTGAAGTCTAAGGATCCATCAATTATACATCTAATACACAAATGTGTATCAGTGCTCTGAAATCCTTCAGTGGATCTCAGCTGCCTACTGGATAAAACCCAAATGATTATTTATATAATATACAAGGCCCTTTATGATCTGGTCTACCTCTTTCACACATATTGAAAGTGCTATTATTAATGCTTGATAAGTGTCTAACACTTAGTAGCTACTCCATAAATGCTGCTAAATGAATGACAATATGTTAGGAGGATTTTCACTGCACCCTTTTCCATGCAACTTTATTCCAAATTCCTGCCACCCCATGCCCTACCCTAACCCCAAAAAGACCTGTGGACCTCTGAGACTTACAGATTTATCCTTTGGCCCTTCTAGAGCAATTTTCCCGAAGTATAATATGCATACCACTAGGTGGTTCTAGGTGGTACATAGATAAACATTTTAAAATTTAATTATTATAAGTTTGATTTGATGTGTGTCAGAAAAAAATATGTAATTATCATGATATATCAAAATCATGGTGTCAATGATGTAGTATTAAATACGATAAGAATTTTTAAAATTGTTGTAAAGAAAAATGCTAAATGAATAATAGAGCAAATAATCCATCAATATGGCAAAAACTATTAAAGTGGTAGATGATGTAGTTTGGGAAACACTATGCTAGAGCTTTCTTGAAATTTGAGGATTTAAACAGAGTCCAAAGCTTAGTACCACTGGAGCCTCTAGGAGTTATTAGCTTCCATGCTACAAGAAAAAACAGTCCCCAGAACTACCACAAGAGGTGCCAACTTGCCCACATCTGTAATCCCCATAGATTCTGCCTCTAGCCCACATCTCAGTCCAGTAAGCCATTGCTTTGGAAGAGAGGAGCTTACCATCTTTCCTCATATCTCTTTCACAGACTGGAGCAAAGTTGAGCCGAGGGTACATTTTTTTCTGTTTCCTCAAAGCACATTGTTTCGAATATTTCCCTTCACTCTTGAAATCATTGTCAGTGGAAAACCTTAACAAAGAAAATTCATTTAGTAGATCTTAGGGCAGGGGGTTTAAAGGAACCAGTCACTTTAAAGTTGGCTATGTATTGTCAGAGATTTTAAAGGAGAAGAAGGAACAATGACAAGAGGCTATTGATGGGTACAGAGTGGGAGTATTGTTCAGTGGGAAGAGATGCTTCTGAACTAAGCGCTGTAAGCTCTGAAGGAACTTCAGAATCTCCTCCCTAAACTAGATATAGGATGCTCCTATAACTAGTTTCAAATAAAACCTCTTTTGTCTTTGTGTTCTCATAGCACATTGTTCCTGTGCTATAGTCCTTAACTTACATTGAGTGTACATTTTTTTCTGTTTTCTCAAAGCACAGATCTTTCAATATTTCTCTTCACTCTTAAAATCCTTGTGAGTGGAAAACCTTAGTTTTTCATTACGATTTCTCTTTCATTAGAGTGTAAATGAGGTTGAGGGTCAAGTAGGGAAGCTGTGTCTTATCATCATACAGTTGTACATGCTCCCTACAATCAAAGAGTATGTTGTTAAGTTGTATTGAAAAGAGACAGTAACAAGAATAAGGCAAAGATAGGAAAGAAAATGAGAACAAGAAGAGCCAGGACTTCACCTAAACCATTGTTCCCGCTTGGATGTAGAATCGTCCAACTGTGTCAGAGGGAAGACTGGTTTCAGCCCAGATCTTAACTTTTTTTTCTGAGGCATCAGGGGCAGGCATAGGTTCTTGGTGGATTTGTGCTGATGATAACTTTCCTGTAGCAGAGGGAAAAAGAGTGAGGAAGAGAGCTGAGTCCCTTGGGATTTAAAGGCTGAATTTAAGTTCCTGGGCAAAGTTTCAGTCCCCCTAAAATGAGGCAACAAAACCTGTCAGAGAGGGAAGTGAGAACTCAGACACTAGAATCAGAGGAAGCAGCTCCTGGAGTAGAAGAATACTTAATTTGTTTTATTGCCAGATGACTTGTCCAAAGACTGGTCAGTTTCCTAAGTAATTGATTAAACTTGCCTCCTGACCCTTGAAAGTGAATGGAAGAAGTTACCCATATTGGGGAAGGATTCAGTTAGTGGCTTTCTTGGGAAATCAAACATTTGGCAATAAATTGGGAAATAGATCCACAAGATTCTACATTCCTTTCTTGGAGCAGCCTGCCTCATTCATATTCCATTCTCTGTCTGCAATGAAAATGTCATGGAATGGGATGTTTTGTGAGATAATAACTTCATTATTACTAAAGGTCAAGGATCAAAGACTTTTGGAAAGAATCTTAAAAGTCATCCAATCTATTAATGACTGTTCATCTGACACTCACATCTTCTTCACAATCTATCAAATGGTTAATCTTTCTATACCAAAAAAAAAAAAATCCAATCTATTTCATCTTTGATCAGTCAATAGCCATCTCCCTGTAACTTTTACCCTATAGTCCAAACAGAACAAATCTAGTCCTTCTTCCACAAAGTCCTTAAAAATTTTAAAGAAATCCATCATATTCCTGCTAAGCTCTGACTCTTCCAGGCTAAACATTGCCAATATCTTGAACTTTTGTTCATGTAACATGGCTTTGAGTTTCCTTATTTTCCTGATTTATCTTATTTGAGAAAGTTACAATTTATATTCTTCCCAATGTGCAGCAATCTGAAATGAAAACAATACACCAGATGTAGTAATTGCATGGCACATCCCCTGACCCTATTAAAGTGTCTATTTGAAAGTTATCACCACGTCTAAGAGCTTTCTGTAACTACACTATC